ACTCCCTCAGTACTGCCCCTCCAATAGTGTAGCACTCCCTCAGTACTTCCACTCCAACAGTGTCGCACTCCCTCAGTACAGCCCCTCGAACAGTGTAGCACTCCCTCAGTATTGTCCCTCCAACAGTGTGTCTCTTTCTCAGTACTGTTCCTCCAACATGTCGCACTCTCTCAGTACTGTCCCTCCAACATGTCGCACTCCCTCAGTACTGTCCCTCCAACATGTCGCACTCATTCAGTAATGCCCCTCCAGCAGTGTAGCAATCCCTCAGTACTTCCCCTCCCACAATGTAGCCATACCATAGTGCTGTCCTTCCAGCAGTGTGACTGTGTCTCTGTACTGTCCCTCCAATGGTCTGACTACCTCTCGTACTGCTCCTCCAAAAGTGTGGCTCTCCTTCAGTCCTAACGATCTGACCATGTTAAGTACAGGGAATATTGTCCTCGGTCACTGTGCTCAAACCCCGAGGATGAGATGAGTTTGTAACCTTTGACTTTCTGACGAGGGCTCCCCACTGTGGAAGAGCTGACACATTTAAAAGCAGTGACTTGTATCATTGTGAATGTTTAGAATGAAAAATATAAACAGGCAGTGGTCGAAAAACACTCAGCACGTCTGTTAGTATCCGCGGAGAGAGAGGGGAACAGAATTATGTTTCAGGTCTGTGACATGTCATCAGAGCAAGTATAAATAACATGCTCAGTGAAATTTTGTGAGAGTCTGGGTGACATGGTCCATGGTGAGATTTGTGACAGAATCATACAATAGTTTCAGCGAGGTCCACTTTGACATTGGGAACATCTTACTTCATTTTTTATATTTTTCACTACATACCATGAGGAATTTCTCACTTGGAAGTGGCAAGTTTGCTGATGCCTCGTTGAAGGACTAACTTGTCTCATTAATACTCTGCTTCCTGTCTTACCAAACAAGCAAGACATCGAGAAAAGCCAACTTGACAGCCGGAGCAGATTCCTGGGCAGGTTCAGCTCAGCGCTAGCTCTAAACGACCTCCATGTAACCTGCTACCAAACTGCAACCCTGGGCGTGAACCATGGGCACCAGCCACCCCCACCCCTCATTGGCATTCAACATCCAACAATCCCTGACAACCATCCTGGGATCTCTGCAATGCATTGGCAGTGCCTTCTAGAAGCACAGACCTCCATTGTAGGGGGCACTAGCAGTTGGCATTGAAGGGCTGCAGTTGGGACAATTTGCACCCAGCGACAGGCACCACAGGTAGGCCATTCAGTCCCTCGAACACATACCACCCTGTCAGCTAAAGCATTAATGACCTCTAGTTCGACTCCAGCCACCCCGTTTGGTTCTGTGTCGCTCGATAGCTTCATCCCAAACAAAGGAGTTTCGCAATCTCAGTTTAAAAGATTTCAATTAACTTCTGCTTTGTAAGGAAAGTAAAGTCGCCATCATCCCACTTTCTCAATTGAGTGAGAGAGAGGTAGAAAACCGGTGGTGGTTTAATCTGAGGGTCATCACAGGTTGGGTAAGGGGAGAGGTTGAGAAGTAATTTGCAGTAATTCAGCTGGTGCAGGGATTGAACATAAGAACATAAGAACTAGGAGCAGGAGTAGGCCACCTGGCCCCTCGAGCCTGCCCCACCATTTAATAAGATCATGGCTGATCTTTTTGAGACTCAGCTCCACTTACCCGCCCGCTCACCATAACCCTTAATTCCTTTACTGTTCAAAAATTTATCTAGCCTTGCCTTAAAAATATTCAGCAAGGTAGCTTCAACCCCTTCACTGGGCAGGGAATTCCACAGATTCACAACCCTTTGGGTGAAGAAGTTCCTCCTGCCCTCAGTCCTACATCTGCTTCCCTTTATTTTGAGGCGATGCCCTCTAGTCCTAGTTTCACCTGCTAGCGGAAAACAACCCACTTTATCTATTCCCTTCATAATATATGTTTCTATAAGATCTCCCCTCATTCTTCTGAATTCCAATGAGTATAAACCCAATCTACTCAATCTCTCCTCATAATCCAACCCTCTCAACTCTGGATTCAACCGAGTGAATCTCCTCTACACCCCCTCCAGAACCCATACTGTTGGTGTCACTCTGTATTGCAAACCAACCATCTAGCCATTGAACTAACTGACTATCAACATGAGTCTCCTAACATCAAGTTTAACATCTTAAGTTTATGCCTCCTTGCATCCTTGTTGTTCAGACTTGTGCTAGGGTGCCTCTGTCAACTCCTTGCATTATCTTAAACACCCGATTAGATCACCCTTAATCTTCTACACTCGAGGTACCTTTTCTTGTTCCATGTCTGTGAAAACTAGAGTAACTTCAGATTCTTTTGTGAGCATCAATTGTATTTATTGCCCCATCCTTAATTGTTCTTCTAATGATGGCGAGCTGACTTCTTGAACCTCTGCAGATGTGTGGAGTCCCACTCTCAGCACTGTCAAGGAGAGCGTTCCAGGGTTTGACCCAGTGACTGTGAAGGAACAGCGATATAGTTCCTTATTAGGGTCATGTATGGCTCAGAGGGATAGTGTCCAGTGCTGGTGTTTGTGTGTCTCAGCTATCGTTGTGCTTCAAGGTAATAGAGGGTTCGAAATTTGTTGTCAGAATCATAGGATTCTACATTGTGGAAAGAGGCCATTCTGCCCATCGAGTCAGCATCGACCCTCCAAAGAGCATCTCACCCAGACCCAGCCCCCACCCTATCACCATATTTCCCAGGGTTAATCCACCTAGACTGCACAGTCATGGACACTATGGGCAATTTAGCTTGGCTAATCCACCTAACCTGCACATTTTTGGACAATGGGAGGAAATGGGGGTACCTGGAGGAAACCCACTGAGACATGAGGAGAATGTGCAAACTCCACACACAGTATTACCCAAGCTGGAATTGAACCCGGATCCCTAGCGTTGTGAGGAAGCAGTGCTAACCACTGAGCCAGCTTGTTAAAGGAGCCTGCAGATGGTGCATATAATACCACTGTGTGTTAGTGGTGGAGGGAGTGAATGTTTAAGTTGGTGAGTAGGATGCCGAGTGTGATCCTGAGCTCTGATGCAGAGTGATATGATGAGTGTATATGCTTTGAACTAATTGATTCACATTCCAGCTCCTACACATTGTGCTGAACTCAGGAACCACGGCTGATCAGGAATGAATGACTTGTCTAGCTGTATATGTTTGGGGCTCACTCGTATATAATTTTCTGATCTTACCTGTGGTGACCCAAGGTCACAGATTCAAGGCAGTGGTTAGATAATTGGTAAAAGAACCAAGAGGGAAGATGTGGAGAGTTTTATTTTATAGCACAGTGTGTGTTTAGAATATGGAGTGTACTGTCTTAGAGCATGGATTCAGCAGTAACTCCCAAAAGGAGAATGATGAAATGTGGGAAAATCTGCAGTGGTACATGGAAAGGACAAGAAATGAGGGCAAACTGGATAGCCCTTTCATAGAGATGTCCAAACTGGGCTGTTTCTGTGCAGTGCTCAGTCAGAGCAACCATCTTATTACAAAAGTTGCTGGAAAAGCTCAGCAGATCTGGCAGCATCTGTGGAGAGAAATCAGAGCTCATGTTTCGGGTCAAGTGGCCCTTCCTCAGAACTGGAACAGTCGCCGGACCCGACATGTTAACTCTAATTTCTGTCCACAGATGCTGCCGGATCTGCTGAGCTTTTCCACGCAATTTCTGTTTTTGTTTCTGATTTACAGCATCCACAGTTCTTTCAGTTTGTAATCTTCGTACAAGATGGTTTATGGTTAATTTTCTCTTGCAGGATGCTGGAAGATGACCTGAAACTCAGCAGTGATGAGGACGATGGTGAACAGGTAAGCTCAGCAACAACAACAACGTGAGTTGTTTAATGAAGGGAACAATCCCAAAATGCTGCATGATCAGTTAGAAATTTGGCAACGAGGCACATTAAAGGGATATTAGGACAGGGAGCCCAAAGCTTGGTTAAAGACTTAGGTTTTAAGGAGTGCCTTAAAGGAAGGCAGAGAGAGAGAGAGAGAGAGATATTTAGGGGCGGACTTCCAGTAGTGAGGGCGTAGGCAGCTAAATAGTTGCTGCTGGTTGAATGACTAAAATTGGAATCTTCCAGATGACAAAATGTAAAGAACACAGAAATGTCAAAGGTTTGAGCTGTGGAAGACTTCACAAACAACTCTTGTACCAGTCAGAGATAGTAGGAACTGCAGATGCTGGAGAATCTGAGATAACAAGGTGTGGAGCTGGAGGAACACAGCAGGCCAAGCAGCATCAGAGGAGCAGGAAGGCTGACATTTCTAAAGAAGGGTCCAGACCCGAAACGTCAGCTTTCCTGCTCCTCTGATGCTACCTGGCCTGCTGTGTTCATTCAGCTCCACACTGTGTTATCTTGTACCTGTCTTTTGATTTTAATCTTCTGTTTTGGTTTCTCAGTATGCCCTGAAGGGGGTGATACTTGAAATCAAAGTGAGCCCATGATTTGATATTGAACCATAGACAAATGCTGTTACTTTATTGACTTGTACTTTGATCTGGAAGATATTCCAGTGGCTTGGAGGAGCATCACAGATGATTGATAAACCAGCTCCATTTGCTTCATGCTGAACAGAGGAGAACTTCAGCCCACACCTGGACCCTTGGGCTTTGAGGGGACTAGGACTGATTTATGAATGAATGAACGTTCCTCTCCATTCAAAGTGATCCATAGAAATAGTGATAGCTTGTGTGTTAAAGTATGTACACACCTTACCCTGTTCCAAACCATGTGATCACCTGGGAAAGAAAAGTGGGACTTTTATTTGGTACAGTGGGTGGCATAGTGGTTCCTAGCATTGTACAGTAACCCAGAATCTCTGACTAATGTTTTGGGGACATGGGTTCAAATCCCATCATGGTAACTGGTGACATTTTCCCCCTTGACAGAGGGATCAATGACCAGGGGACATAGATTTAAGGTAAGGGCAGAAGGTTTAGAAGAAATAGAGACATAGAGATATACAGCATGGAAGCAGACCCTTTGATCCAACTCATCGATGCTGACCAGATATCCTGAATTAATTCAGTCCCACTTGCCAGCATTTGGCCCATATTTCTATAAACCTTTCCTGTTCATGTATCCATCCAGATGCCTTTTAAATGTCGTAATTGTACCAGCCTGCACCATCCCCTCTGGCAGTTAATTCCATACACACATCACCCTCTGTGTGAAAAACATGCCCCCCCAGGCCCCTTTTGAATCTTTCCCCTCTCAACTTAAACCTATGCCCTCCAGTTTTGGACTCCCCCACCCTGGGGAAAAGACCTTGACTAACCACGCCCCTCATGATTTTATAAACCTCTATCAGGTCACTCCTCAGCCTCTAACACTCCAGGGAAAATAGCCCCAGCCCATTCAGCTGCTCCCTATAGATCAAACCCTCCAACCCCAGCAGCATTCTTGTAAATCTTTTCTGAGCCTTTTCAAGTTTAGCAACGTCTTTCCTATAGCAGTGAGACCAGAATTGTATGCTGTATTGCAAAAGTGGCCTAAACTGTGAGAAAAGGTAGGAATTTGGAGCTCACTGCCTGTAAGAGGGGTAGAGGCAGAAATCCTCATCACATTTTAGAAGTAATTAGATTTATGTTTGTAATGCCAAGGCATATAAAGCTATGGGCCAAGTGCTGGAAAAGGGGATTAGAACTGGCATGGAAACGATGGGCTGAAGAACTCTTTGCTGTGTGCTGTAGATCTCTGTGACTGTATTTATATGGTATCTTTTACTGACACTAAATGTTCCAAACTGCTTTGTAGTGAATGAAATACTTCTGAGTTGACTGCTATAATGTAAAACGGTGAACGATAAATATGAAATCAAAACTAAAACAGTAAATGCTGGAAAAGCTCAGCAGGTCTGTCAGCACCCACAGAGAGGGAACCAGGGTTAGCATTTCGAGTCCAAAGTTACTACTTTGACCTGAAGAAGAGTCATGAAACCTCAATCTCTTACTTTCTCCATAGGCTAACCCTGCACAGTCTCCCCAGCACCTTCTTATCTCAGATCTCCAGCATCTGGATGATTTTGATTTTCTGAAATCACAGAGGCCAATTGGGAGAGAAACAGAAAAATCTATGCAAGTTCTCTTTGACCCTCTTAGGCTGTTAGAACCAACCCAGGCAAAAAATCTTGATTGTGCTTCAGCATCTCTGTACGATACAAGGTGATCAGTTTACCCAGCAGAATTTGAAGCTTGATGCAGCTCTAAGGATCAGGCTGTTTCTGGGGGTTCAGTCTTCTCTGGAAGTAGAACCACCTCCTGGCATCTAACTGAGACCTACCTAGTACAGTTTCAGTTTGAGTCCTCTCACCCTACCTACCCTATTCACACAGTAAAGTCACCATAGTCCTCCCAGACCAAAGGGCTGCTTTCTCATTAGAGAGAGCTGACTGGTGGTGGGTTCATCTGAGGGCCACCGCTCCTAAGGCAAGGAGAAAGTTTGAGAAGGAGAGTCCTTCATGGTAACTTCAATTGGTATGGGAATTGAACCCAGCACTGAGGATAACTCACTGCAGTGCAAACCATGATGGCTCAGTGGTTAGCACTGCTGCTTCACAGTGCCAGGTACAGATTCGATTCCAACCTTGAGTGACTGTCTGTGTGGAGTTCGCACATTCTCCCTGTGTCTGTGTGGGTTTCCTCCAGGTGCTCTGGTTTCCTCCCACAGTCCAAAGATGTGCAGGTTAGATGAATTGGCCGTGCTAGATTACCCATAGTGTCTAGGGATGTGCAGGCTAGGTGGATTAGCCATGGGAAATGCAGGGTTACAGGGATAGATAGGGTGGTTGGATCTGGGTCTAGGTGGGACGCTGTTTGGAGAGTCAGTGTGAACTTGATGGGCTGAATTACCTCTTTCTGCTCTGTAGGGATTCTATGATTCTATTGAGCAGGAAGTGTAACTCTAAAGCATGGTGTTAAGGGACACCATTCCCGCTTCATCCTGTTCTTTTCCTTTCTGTGATTCCTTGTGATGGTTACTGATTTTACAGAACCTTCCATTTTTAATTGGCAGTTGTTAAAACTCTTACAAAAATAAAGGCACTTAACTTTTCTTGTCATAAAATGAGGGAAAATGTCACCAAGGGTCCTAACAGTGTATAATTAAGAAGAGTGAAATGCAGAAGGTGTAGTCTGCTACCTGTGCACAGGCTGTAAACCTTGGCTGTATTGTACATGACATTTACAATGGCTACAGGAAACCTATTAAATACACATTCCTCTTTTATTTACTTGCGAGTTAGTGCAGAGCTTCAAATGATAGGAAATCAAAGGCTAAGGCCTGGAATCAATTTCCCTTTATTACTTAGAAGCTGTTATTGATGTTTGCTGCCTTAGAATGGCTGTTTTGCCACAAAGCTTTGTCCGGTGACCTTAATACAAATGAACACAAAAACACAACTGGCTCACTTTGCATCATTTTGAACAAGTGTTCAATATATACCAATCAAGTGCATATTTGAGGGTTGCACATATTTCACTTGCTGAGCTTCAGCAGTATGAGGATTTGCAAGGAGATACTCTACTGAAGGTACATGGGCGATAACTGTCAGCTTTGAAGATCTAAGGAGGAGATAAATCGATTTAATTACAGCCAGCATCTGTTCTTACAATTTACTGTAATTCACATGAAGCCTGCTATATTCCTCTAACTTTAATGAATGTGGCAACTGTATGAAAGCCTTAAGCATCCCCTTTCTAAACATATATTTGCAATGTCATTTGCCTAACAGTATAAAGCTCTGGGCACAGAACACACTAACATACAGACACAATGGAAATGGCATGTTGAGCTGATCTCCTAACTAGAAAATGATTGGACTTGACATCAACATAAAATTCATATGGGTGAAATATATTGGAGTGCTGTTCACCGTTTAATGACCTGTGTGACTTTTTGTCTTGCCCTGTGTATGTGAAGTTTGCAAGAGATGACTAAAACATTTGAGTTAGAAGTAAGAATTACAACCTAAACATTGTGGAGACTCTGCCTTGCCTTTGATTGATTTGATCTAATGCCACATACGCTGATAATCTTTTGGGTTCCCCTCCCACAAGAACCAGCACGTTTCAGAGTTCATGTTCCAACGTCGTTAGTTTTCTGCCAATAATGACTCATGTCTCAATGAGTTGCCAGGGTATTCCTGTGTTCAACATGCCTGACAGTAAAGAAACAGAAATTGCTGGAAAATCTCAGCAGGTCTGACAGCATCTGAAAGAACTCCACAGAGGCTGGTATCCCATCACAAGTCACCTTTTGTTAACACATGGAGAGTGCTTGACACTGCTCCAGCTCTCAGAGTGAAGAGAACCTCTCATTCCTGTTTTTATGCAGTCGCGTTTATTTTCAGCAAAACCCATGTGTGTGTGTGTTGGTGCAAGATACAGTGAAAAACACGAGTTTGTGTCGACAACTTTATTAATATTCCACCACCAAGAAAATCACCCATGTGACCAAGGAGCCTGTGACAAGCAGACACCCCTGTTTATATCTGTCAGCCAGGGCTCCCTGATTGGACCTCAATCAGGAAACTCATTCTATGAGATCCGCCTGGCTGACTTTGTTACATTCACTCCAGCATCTGTTGGAAGAATTCATAGTTAATGTTTCAGGTCCACTGACCCTTCTTCAGAACTCAGCAAAAAAAAAAGAACTTGCATTCTCTCTGTCTCACACACACCACACACACGGGCACGCACACACACACACACAAACATACACTCATACACACGCACGCACGCACACACACACAGACACACACACACATACACACGCATGTGCGCGCGCACACACAGATACACACAC